CCCTGGTGCCCTACGCAGCTGCGTGCTGCTCCAGCCCCTGCTCTGCCTCTTCCCCATGGCCCCCACCCCTCTTCCACCCCAGCCCTCCCTCTTCCCGGCCCCCACCCCTCTTCCACCCCAGCCCTGCCTCTTCCCATTCCTGCTCTGCCCCAGCCCTGCCCCCACTCCACCCCTTCCCCAAAAGCCCCTGCCCTGCTCCACTGCAGCCCTGCCTCCACTGCCCTGAGGCTGGTAGCAGGGCCAGGCCTGCACTCACCATTAGTGGGAAGTGCAGCGACCTGGCCCCAGCAGCGGTTGAGGGCTGGGGGGCAGTTTTCCCCACCCCACTGCTGCAGAGGCCTGCCCCTCCCCCCCTGCAGGAGGGCTGTATAGGGCCCCAGAATAGCTAGGGACAGCCCTGACTGATGCACATACTTAACTTTAAGCAAATTAGTAGATCCACTGAAGTCACAAAGATATTCACTCCCTTAAAGTTAAGTACATGCTTAAGTGCTTTGCTGGATTGGGGCCAGAGTGTTCAGTCCCTCTGGGGGCGAGCAGAAGGCAAACCAAAGTTGGTAGAACAGTGCTTTATTGGTATATTTAAAACTTGTAACCTCATCCTGTAGAATATCCTTTCAAATCAATAGACTGCATGTAACCATGGTGGTTAAGCAGATTAGTCAGAAGTTTCTCTAAGCAAAAAAAATGCAGTACTTTAGCTATATGCAGAGCTATTATAGCAGTGTTAGTCCCAGGCTATTAGAGAGATAAGGTGCCGGAGGTGATATCTTTTATTGGACCAACTTGTGCTGTTGAGAGAGACAAGCTTTCAATCTTACACAGAGCTTTTCTTCAGGTCTGGGAAACATACTCAGTATCACAGATTTGTTCCACCTTGTAAGAGTGGTCACTTTGGATGAGCTATTACCAGCAGGATAGTGAGTTTGTGTGTGTGGTTTTTGGGAGGGGGGTGAGGGGGTGAGAGAACCTGGATTTGTGCAGGAAATGGCCCAACTTGATTATCATGCACATTGTGTAAAGAGTTGTCACTTTGGATGGGCTATCACCAGCAGGAGAGTGAATTTGTGTGGGGGGGTGGAGGGTGAGAAAACCTGGATTTGTGCTGGAAATGGCCCAACCTGATGATCACTTTAGATAAGCTATTACCAGCAGGACAGTGGGGTGGGAGGAGGTATTGTTTCATATTCTCTGTGTGTATATAAAGTCTGCTGCAGTTTCCACGGTATGCATCCGATGAAGTGAGCTGTAGCTCACGAAAGCTCATGCTCAAATAAATTGGTTAGTCTCTAAGGTGCCACAAGTACTCCTTTTCTTTTTACTCACAGAGTAAGTTTGTCTCTCCTTGCTTAGTGAGGCTGAAACTTCCAGCTAATGTAGTTAACCAGCATGGTTACATGTTCCATTGAATTGAAAAGACAATCCATGGTATGAGGTTACAAGTTTTAAATACCTCACCCACCTTGTCTTTAGCTAGACATTTCAGAAAACCAAACAAAAGCAAGAACATCCCAATCCTTGCCATTAAGGGCAGGAAGCTAGTGTTGATCAGGGGGTGAACTATGCTAAACTGAACAATTGATGGAAACTACTTTTGACCCCTTGCTAGCTGAGGGGGAAAAAACACAAGTCCTAGATATAGAATGTCTGGCTCTGCTTCAGCTACTGTAAGAGAGACAAGGTGGGTAAGGTCATATCTTTTATTGGGCCGACTTTTGTTGGTGAGAGAGACAAGCTTTTGAGCCACAGAACTCTTCTTCGGGATTGGGAAAGGAACTCCAAGCAAAATAGGTAGATTGTTTAGCAGAAGTAGCTAGTATATACTGTAAGGGACCATTCAAGGTAGAGTGACCTGTTAATACCTCTGCAGTCATAGGACAAAAAGAGGGTGAATAGGTTATAGATTGTAATACTAAATCCTATGTCTCTGTTCAGTCCATGAACTTTGGTGTCTAGCAGAGTAATGAATTTAAGCTCCCAGGTTCATCTTTTGAAAGCGTTCTGCAGTTTTACTTTGCGGATGAGAACTGTGAAAAGTGTTCACCCAGAGGTGATAGGTTGTTTTTGTCTTTCATCATTTTCCTGTGAGTTCATTCAAGAGCACAGTGATGATCTGTTTTCACCCACATAATTGTTGGGGCATGTAGTGCACTGGATAGAGGTACACCACATGTTGTGATAAGCATCTGTCGAACCAATGATCTTCAAAGGCGCGTTGTGGGTGGTGTTGATCACTGTAGCAGTAGAGATGCATCAGCAGGTTTAGCATCTGTTGTTCTGGCAGGGTCTAGTGCTGCTTTGATTTGCTGTGTCCTGGTCTGTGGGGAGCTTGTAACAGAATTCAGCATACAAGCCTTCATATCAGTAGCTGCAGCCTAACCTGAGATCTTAGGACAATGGCTGATTTTTTCCACCACTGGAAACTTAGGCCTAGCCCAAGAACCCCCATGGTAACTGCTTTCCATCTGTGCAATAAAATTGTTAATACCAAATTTGATGTGCAGTTCTGAGGTGAGAGCATCAGCTAGAAGGCTAACCCAAAGTATCTTGGCATTACACTGGATCAGAGTTTAACCTTTTGACAACAGCTTGAAAATACCTGCGCTAAGGCTGCAGGAAGCGGCGCGGGCCGAGGGATGTGCTGGCTGCCCTTCCTGCAGCCCCCATTGGCCTGGAGCAGCGAACCATGGCCAGTGGGAGCTGTGATTGGCCAAACCTGCAGACGCAGCAGGTAAACAAACTGGCCTGGCCTGCCAGGGGCTTTCCCTGAACAAGCGGAGGCCCTAGTTTGAGAACCACTGGTGTAGATAAGGCCTCAAATAGCATAAATATTTTGGTTTTGACTGATTCAACAACACCAGGGCAGGAAAATGTTGATTTTTTTATTTTTGTGGTTTTTAGGCGAAGTTGAAAACCAATTTCAGAGCTAGTACTGTGACTTGCAGCCCCAGCTACCCCAGAACTAGCCAGTAATAAGTAGAGCTGAGGAAATTTTGGAATTTCCATCCTGGCAGCTGGGATAAAAAGTTGAAATTATTTTTTCAGAACAAAAAGGGTGGGAAATGTCAAAATGTTTTGATCTAAATGTTTGAGCATTGCTGAAATCACAGTGTTTCATTTTGTTTAATGGATCAGATCAATATTAAGCAGCATTGCTCTATCTGCACACTGGTTTATGGGAGCTGTAGCTCAGGGCTGCCATTGCTTTATGTGGGCTGGGCTCTCTGGCAGATACAGTCTCCCTCAATGCACAGCATATTCCGCTGCCAAGCTGTATGGTGCGTCAAGGGAGAGGTCATCTAACGAGGGCGAAAACAATGGGGGCTCAACCCACAAACTTCCATATGGCGATGTGCTTAAAAAGGAAATGTAGTCTAGTGTGGGTTTTTTTAACCATTTGAAAATAAAATGTTTCAGGATAGTCCAATAAAACAAACTAGTCAATCTGGGTCAAAAAATAAAATATTAAATTTGCCCCCCATAAAAAAATTTAAGCATGGAAAAATTTTGTTTTGGCAGCAACTGCATTTTTTCAGAAAATGCTGATGGAAAATTCCCAACTAACTCTAGCGATTTAAAAAAAGGGGGAGGGGGTTGGATATAAAAATACTGTTAGTTCAGCTGAGGATGTACCTTAATCCTCAACTGAGCTAAAAGGCTGGTGTGCACACGGTCCCTCTGGAGACAAACTTAATTTATGAGAGTGAGAGGAACTGGACACTGCAGAGACCTCTCTCGGGAGCCTGGTAACTGGGGTTCACTGAATGGGACCTGCAAGGCAAGATTTAGACTGGCAGGGTCTCAAGCAGTTTGCTGGTAAGGCTGGCTGGTGTATCAAGAGAGCGGACAAACAGCTGAAGCCCCAGCAAAGCTTCTCTTGCTGAGGCAGAGGCAGCACCATGGCTTATGGTTCTGAACACCCTGAGAAGGCATCACAGATAAACGATTCCACAGCCTCCTTTGGAAGCTTCTTCCAGAATTTAACTACCTTTAGAGTTAGATATTAGGGGAAGTGTTCTAACGTATTCCCTTGCTGTAGGTTAAGCCTATTAACTGCTTGCCCTACCTTCACTGGACATGGAGAACAATTGATCCCAATCCTCTTTAGAGCAAGCACCATTTACATATTTGAAGACTTAAGTCCTATCTCAGACTTTCAAGATTAAACATACCTATTTTTTTTAGCCCGGCTATAAGTCAGGTTTGCTACACCCTTTCATCATTTTTGTTGTTATCCTCTGGACTCTCTTAATTATCCACATAGTTACTAAATGGTGGTGCTCAGAATTGGACACAGTACTCCAGATGAGGCCTCACCAGTGCCAAATAGAGCAGGACAATACCTCCTGTGTCTTATATATAAAAATCCTGTTAATATATCCCAGAATTATATTAGCCTTTTTCACAACTGCATCACACTCTTGACCCATTCAACTGGTGATCCACTATAACCCCAGATCCTTTACAGTAGTATTACCCCCTGGCTAGTTACTCACTTTATAGCTGTGCATTTGATTTTTCCTTCCTAAACAAAGTACTTTGCACTTGTCTTTATTGAAGATTTCTTAAAACCACATGAAAACCCAAGAACACTTTCCACTGACTTTCTGAGAGAATAGATAAAAAGTAATAGGATTCATGACAGTTTGGAAGAGGGTGCAGATCAAAAAGTAACTGAAAGTGAGTTAAGGCAGGCACAATCTTTCCCATACTTGAGTTCTAAAGGAGGAGATTAGATCCTGATCTTGCTGGCATATTTGTGTTTAAACTTTATTCATGCAAGATGTACCATTGACTTCAGTAGGACTACTTACATGGGTAAAGTTAAGTGTGTGCTTAAGTGCTTGCAGCATCGATCCCTAAGATTATCTTCCTGAAGGAGCATGAGGGGAAAAGGGAAGATATTACTAAATTTTGGGAGACTAGAAAACACAGTCCCCTCCTAACCATCCACCTCTGCCCCCTCAAGAGCATTTTTCCAAAGAGGAAATAGAGGCAAATGTTTTTAAAAATGCTTTTATGATCACTGTAAGAAAATATACATAAATTTCACTGAAAATATTAAACAAATGTTCAGAGGTAAACACACTTTAATATCTGGAGATTTGTATAATCAGATCAATACACACTTTAAAATACCAGGAATAATTTGGGTCTGTTAGAAAAGTTATTCAATTGAAGATCTCATGTTTAGATGCATCTATATATTAAAAAATGCAGAAAAAAAGTAAGTAATAGTGTATTGTTATGTGCATAGAGCATTGGAACAGCAATAGAGAATCTCATTTGGAATAGAGAGCCTAAAAACATCAAAGTAAAAGCTTTAAGGAATACACAGTAGAGTTCTCCTAAAATACAGGTAGCTGAATCTGGGAGTGTGCACGGTCTTATTCTTTCCTATGATTTTTGTCATGCTGGCTCTCTGCATGCTTGCTCCAATCAATGGTTGGTTGTGCAAGGAACAGTTGCAAACGTGCAGTGCTCTTTGCTATTTCAAAGGCTACCTTCTTCCATATTTGACCCACCAGGGAAGCTTACCTACATGCCTTACAGATTCAGGAGAAAAATCATGTCAACCGTCTAACTCAGTCAGGGCTTCTACAGTTTGTGTTCTGCAGACAGAAAGTGAGATTATTACTGCCAATTTGAAGAAGTTAATGGAAGGTTACTCTCCAGGTTACCCAGAATCCTTGGAAACTAAAATAGCAACAGTTCCTCAGACCTGATTCTCCCTGCCTTGCACATGCAGTCATTCTTACCTGTGCAAAGTGGGTGTAAAATGCTACCAAATCAAAATTCTTCAGGCACCTAGATGGTAGCGTTTTGCCAAGGTGTAAACAAATACACAGGGTGTACTGGAACATGAGGTCCAATATGTGTAGAGGGCCCCTTCACATCAGCAATAAATGACATTTGTAAGAAGCAGTAGTGCTTTGCATTGCCATGTAGAACCTCTGGTTCAATTCCTGCTCCAGCTCTGGTGCTGCTTTAGCCAGCACATGCTGGGAACAAGATGGAGCAAGTGCCTTCTGTCACAAAAGTTACAATACTTACATTTTTTTGTTTGAGGAAACACAGGGAGAGCAAGAAAATGGAGAAGAGAGATGAAGGGAAAGAAGCTTATGGAAGAAGAGTGTCTTCTGGGAGTTCTGGGCACAGAAACCTGATTCCCTGTTACTCACTAGTAAAAATGGGAGTTTTTGTAGGTTTATCTGACATAACAGCTGCACTAAAATACCATGCTGAGCAGAATGATGATGTCATGTCAGAGTACAAGAGACATTACTTCACCCACATCTCAGCATCATAAAAAGTGTGTGGGGGAGGGGAGGGTTGGGACTGTCATAGTAGATGGAAATTCCGGAAGTCAGAAGTCCTTTATAGAGAGAGTCCTCTTCCCTTTCCAGAGGAATTCAGGTTCTTTGCTGGAATTCCTTCTCCTCTTCCATCGGCATAAGTAGTGTCTACACTGAAGGACTGCAGCTGTAGCATTTTCAGTACAGACATACCCTTATAAGTTTGCTTCGTTAGAAGCAAACCTTGCTTTTGTGCACCATAGGGCAGAGGCAACTACAGGCAAAGTTCAAATTTCAATTAACTGAAAATCCTGATGAGCTGAATCAGCAGTGTCCGTGCATTTAATGAACCGCGGAATGCTCTTCAGTTAACCTCTTAGTAGCTCATTAAACGCATGGGGGAATACACTGTTCATTCAGATAACTACATTGTGGATCCCCAAGGGTGTGAAGAGAGGTGGAATAGCTGCAGGAGACAAGAACCTCCTTGGTGCTGTTTGAGCACTTGCTAGCACTGACAGCTGTGGGGGAGGGAGCCAGCCAGCCATACCCCTCATTACGGTATTTGTACTGGTGCTTGTAGAATCCTGGGCTGTCAAGAAGGCTCTGGTCTCCTACAGCTCCTTCCCCTCTACCTCCTTCCTTTTCCTTTTCCCTCTTCCATCCTCCTCTTTGCCTCCCTTCCACCACCCCCACCCCCACCCTTTTATTCTGCAGTGATACCCGATCCTTTTCTTCCCTCCTCCCTCTGGGACTGGCATCACTGCAGCATGAAACAGTGGCTTTGTCTACACTAGAGCCCCTCAAGTGGCACAGTTGTGGCACTGGAACTGTGCTGCTGTAGCATCATAGTGTAGACGCTTCCTACAGCAACAGAAGAGGGTTTACCTCAATGTAGGTAATCCACCTCTCCGAGAGGTAGTAGCTAGGTCAACAGAAGACTTCTTCCATTGACCTAGCCATGTCTACCAGAGAGGTTTGCGCATCTTAACAACGTAGCTAGGCTGACCTCAATTTGAAGCACAGACCAGACCTGTGAAATTGCAGCTAAAAATAGCACTTCCATTTATCTGAACACCTGGTTATCCAAAGGTCTCTGATGTCCTCCAGGTCATTTAGATAAACAGAATTCACCTGTATTATAAAGGTTCAACCTTTGGGTAATGCTAAAAGAAAGAAAGCAAGACATGGGCTAGCAAGGCCATCCCTGACAGGAAACCACTTATTACTAGTTCCTGAGAACACTGAGTGATGAATCACAAAAGCAGAGGCCCCAAACCTCCAGATCCATATTCATATCAGATCAGATCAACTGCTGGGACAGTCACAGAATCAGGCTCGCCATTTTAGCTTTTGCTTTCTCAATAAAATCCACAGAGGCACTCAGGAGCGGAAGTCGTGGGGGACCCATTGGAATCCCTGAGGTAAAAGTCATGACTGCTTTAGTCTGTGCAACACCAAAACCTAGGCAGACAAAAGAAAAAAGCAGGTTACTTAAATAAAAGATGGTCACTACAGGGGGCTCCAAAATCCCAACCACACCAACGATTCCATCTCTTGTGAAATCCTGGAATATGGCCAGAGTTTAAATTCCCACAAGGGAGAAAGATGTAATTAGCAAGTGATGTTTGCAGACAGAAAACAGAGTTAATATCCATCCTGTATTACAGTACCAACTGCTCTTACCTGCCCATATTTTCCTCCAAAATGCCCCAAGTACAATATTTCCTTAGTAATACATGCTTATGCTCTGAAAAGTGACTCTAAGTGTGGCTTTGGGAGGGTTCCCATACTTGTTTTTCCAGGACTTCCAGATCAAATTAGGGTCATCTTTATAGATAAGATGTATCATCTAACTCTCAGCTCAGAAGACAACCTAGGAACCAAAAGCCCAACCATGTCCTTTGTGGTTTACATACAGTATCAGAAGTAATACAGATTCTGTAGTTAGAATTCAGTTAATAATTCTCTTGATTATATGCAAACTAGAAAGAATCTGTCTCTCCCCAAAAGCAGTGCTGGCTCTGCAGAGTTAACAGGAGAAAACATGTATTTTTTCCAGGAAAGTCAATAGATATAGTTTTGAAAGCACAAGGGGAGTAGGCCTGTGATGTAAAAACACTTATTTTTCTCATAAATAGATTTTTAGATTCTTGAGCCCGATTGTCCTCTCACTTACACCTGTATAAAACTCCACTCACTTGAATGGAGTTACTCTTAAGTTATAGGTTTCAGAGTAGCAGCCGGGTTAGTCTGTATTCGCAAAAAGAAAAGGAGGACTTGTGGCACCTTCGAGACTAACCAATTTATTTGAGCATAAGCTTTCGTGAGCTACAGCTTATGCTCAAATAAATTGGTTAGTCTCTAAGGTGCCACAAGTACTCCTTTTCTTAAATTATACCAACATAAGGGAGAGGAGAATCAGGCCCCTTGTGCTTTGTCATTAGGGCACTTTATCATCTTGTCCAGGATTGAGAACACTCAATAACAATGACACTGAGAGTGGACTTGGGAAGAAAAACGGAGAGTCAGGATAAACAAAAAAAAAAAAAAAATTTATTTTGAAGTTGGGGAATTTGTCAGAGGGCCTGGAGAAAGGAAGGAAGAGTGAGTGGAATCTTTCTGGATGTGCTTTGCCAGCTCAGTCATTGAACTCTCAACTGCTGATACATCTGCTGTTGCTGCTTGAGTTGAGGTCTCTCTTTGCACAAGATCTTTCAGAAGGGAGCTTCTCAGGTTGCAGGGACCTGGAAGCTTCAGTGAATCTCATGGATTTTCAGTCCCTCTTTTACAACACAGGGAGGGAGGAAGATATTGCAGCACCTACCTAGTTTGAATACAAAGCTGAGAAATTCTCCAGTACAGAACTAGAAGAGAAACAGATAGTATTTTTTTAATTCACTTCTTCATATTTACAAGCCATCTATCCTAACAGCTCTGGATGTTTGTATAACAAACAGTTATATACAAGACATAAAGGGAAAGTCCCCAGTACATTTGGCATGTGTTCTTAAGCAATCAACCTACTATATCCCCAAAAGTACAAGATCACACACAGCTCCCACCCCCCAATGAACCACACCCACTCAGGCCGTCCTTATTCAACTTGGCCCCTTAACACAACAGTCTGAGGAAAGTGGCATACCATGCCCTTCTGGACTTCCAGAAAGGAAGTCCTTTCCAGAGTAGAGGACCCTTTGTTGAACATGGACCCCACCCTCCTGCCACCAGTCCAGGAGGAGTGCCCCCAGCTGCCCAAGACTGTGATAGAAAATTGTGTATCATTTGCAGATTGACTTCACCATTGCTCAGCCCTCCTGACTCCTCTAGATGGCCTTTAACATGTAGAGTAAGAACAGTAATGGCATAGTGACCTGTGAAACCCTGCATGATGGAGAACCCTCAGTACAGAATGCTATTGCCTACTGTAAACCAGGAAGAAAGGCACACAGCCACCCAAGAATGGATCCATCTACCCCTGCTAGGGGCCTCAGACATGTCAGCAATGCCCTGTGGTCAATAGGATCAAAGGCAGCTGACACAGCTAAAATAATCAGCATGTTACCCAATCTTCATCCATTCCCAGGCAAAAAGCAACCAATGTAATCAGTGCAGTATCTGTGCCATACCCAGACCTGAAGCCAAACTGACTGGTGTCCAAGAAATGCAAGAGAATACCAGATCCCACCATGGCCTTCTCAGATGTTTCCCAAAATGGGAGATTCAGCACAGGCAGGATTATTTACATTAGGCAATAGTTTCTTGAACAGAAGCCTCAATAATGCCATGGAGGACTCCTGGCACCTTTCTTTCTTGAAGGAAGTTGTTGACAATCTCAGTCAGCAGTAGACTTGGTGTCTCTCCATTGTCTTTTACCAGCCAGGAAGAACATGAGTCCAGCTCACAGGCTGCACCCCAAAACTACATCATTCGGTTATTACAATAACGCTCCCTCCCCTGCGTCCCAGCAGGACAATACCCTGCAGGTTGCTGTAATTCCCTTTCAGGCAGAGAGCCCAATCTCAGTTGTGGGGGAGGTGGAGGGGAAGCAGGAGAATATAGACAAGAAGGAAAGAGGTGATGCTTGGTCCAGCCTAACCTCCCTTCCCCACAAGCAACTGATGAGGGAGGGGAAGAAACTGCCAAGACTGGTTAAAAGTGGGTGGAGTGGACAATGACCCATCTAGAATAGTTAAAAGAAGACTAGGACCACCACCCCTTAAAAGAGATTGGGCATGAAGACTTATAGATGGAGAGTATTTGAATGGTGGTTATCAATCAGCAAGGAGGTGCTCAGCCAGGTTAGAAAGGCAGGAGGCAGTCCTCCAGACTAGTCAGCAGGTAGGTGTGCGCACATGGACAGGAAGGGAAGAGGAAGGAAGGTGGGTGAGAAGAACATTGATTGGAAATGGGAGAAGAGGATCCTAGAACAGGTTGTGCCTAAGCCAAAACATACATGTGCATGTATGTGACTGGGGGTAAACAAACAGACCTGTCTGGACTAGACTGTTTATGAGGGAAGAGTTGGACAGTGCCCATTCCACACAGGGTTTGGGGGCTGAAGGGGAGGTTACACAAGGGGAAGAAAGGTGAGCTGTGCCTTGGCTAGTTAAAATAGCAGGGTTCATGCCTGGAACAGTTTCAGAAAAGGGGAACTGTGTACCAGACAAACAGATTGTTCGTGGGTGAGCACAGTGGTTAGAGAGATTAGGTGGATAAAGTGGTGGTGGTAAGCCAGAGAATGAATGCCCAATGAAGAAAAGTTTAAAGGAGTGGAGAGAGGACACTCCCACTGTGAGCAGGTGAAGATGCTGTACCTGATATTGTTGTGCTAATGTGAGGTCTTGCTTTGCAAAAGCCTCCAACATCAAGTTGTTTTTTTTGCCCAGGTAGTTGTATGTGCTGCCAAAAAAACAAAGTAAACTCAGTTATGCAAAGAGGTGCTTAGAGCAGCCACCTCAACCAGAACAAACAAGAAGTCCCAGGCTTTCTAGTGCAATATTTTATTTTCAGAACGTAATCATTCCGATCTAGAAATTCCACGTGGTCTGAAACATTGTATATAGTTGAGCCTTAAAAGGATGACTGCTCCCAATGAAAGAGTTACAATTAAGTGTTCTCTTCCCATCATCCTTTACAAATGACATTGTTCCCCAGAATGGCTAACTGATTTTTTGTTCTTGAAAAAACAATCACACTTTGCAATTCACGTGTACAATGCATAAATCACACAAGTGACAAGTAAACAATGTGGTACAGTAACTCATTTACGCTTCCTCAGTGGGGAAGGAAGCATGGTCTAGTGCTTAAACACTGACCTGGACCTAGGTTCAATTCCCTTCTCCAGCACTGACTTTCCCCAAGATCACCCAGAAATCTCTTAGTCTCTCTGAACTTCAGTTCCCCATCAGTAAAGAGGGTAACAGTCCAACCCTGCCTCACAGCAATGTTGTGAGGATAAATAAATACATTAAATATTGTAAGGCACTAAGGATATTACAGTAATGGGGGCCATATAATTACAATACATAGACAGATAGTGGTAAATATGGCAACAAATGGGGCAGGAATGCAAAAGGACTGACCTTCCAACGGCCCCAGATGCTCCCATTGCCAGTGCGCTCAGCAGATGCTAGTTTGTGGGGGTGGGGGGGAAAAAAAGCATTTTACTTCATATAATAAAAAGCAAAGGAAGAATGAGCAGTACAACTCGTGGTCCTGAACATGGCTAGAGTTCAGTTTTGCACTGGGTAGCAGTTGTTCAGGTTGGAACCAGGATGTGGCTTAGCATAAGCCACATGGTTTTTAGGGGAGATCATTAGAAGTAGAGCCCCTTACCTCATCTACCCCATAGAGTAGCACAAACTGCTCTTTGTGGTTCTTCACACACTGTGCAAAGTCCAAGAGGTCTGTGTCACTGAACTTCACCCCCTGGAAGGTGGGGATCTGTTCTTTTATCCCATCCAGCAGCTCCTCAACACGAACTGCACAGAACAACAATCTCACGTCAAGAAACACATCCCAGTCACATAAGACGTCCCCGATTTCCTCCCCAAAAGGGTCATCATGGTCATTCAAGCCTTACTATTCTTCATTTGAACAGAGTCAGGTCCCTCCACTCCCCATCCCCTTACACAAGGTAATTAGAGGCAGACTTGTTGCTTTCCAACATTTTCTTTATGGTTTAAATGTAAGAGCTTGGTTATTTAAATAGCTTGAAAGGAACCAGTAAAGTAACTCTGGAATATATGAAGTGATAAACAAATGCCTGTGAGGAGAAACGTACCATTGATATAGAATTGTCACTACCCCCTCTCATTTATACCTACTTCCATGTTACATACTTGCCGCTTATTGACAATAAGCAAGATCATATGGGACACATGCACATCTAAGCTCAACAGCTTCTATAATTCTGCCACCAGCATTTTCTCCCCCTCCCCCCAGTCTCCCTGTCTATTTCCTGGCTTGTGCCCTGTTACACAGCAGTGATTTCATTAGTATCTATCAGATGTCTTATTTTGTTCTTGAGTATTCATCTTATCAGTTCAGAAACTGAGAAATACAGTTGGATAAGCAGTTCAGAAATGAACTGTCAGCTACACTTTAAAAATATATTCAAAGCGGCTATGCAATCTGGTGCTTAGAGCAAGGGAGTAAAAAAAAAAAAAAACAAAAAAACAACCAAAAAGCCCAACCAAAACACCTTAGGTTCAATTCTCAGCAGCTAACCACCTATATGGGCTTATCTACATTAGAAAAATGTATTGTGGCTGAATGGGATTAGCACTTCAGTTACCTAACCAAGACTTTGCTGTCAGTACTGAGCAGCACAAGTGGCGGTCATCGCGGTCAGTTAGGTGTGGTGAAAGGTTGCTGGAACCAGGGTTTAACCATGGTTAGTGACATGATGCTAAACTGGTCCATCCTGGTCTACACTGGTCACAATGTCATAGTCAGCATCAGTTCATCTTATAGACTCATAGGAGTGTAGGGCTGGATGGGATCTCAAGAAATCATCTAGCCCACCTGCCTACGCTGAGGCAGGACCATCCCTGACAGGTGTTTGTCCAACCTGTTCCTAAAAACCTCCAATGTAGGGATTCCACAACCTCCCTGGGAAATCTGTTCCAGAGCTTAACTACCCTTATAGTTAGAAAGGGTTTCCTAACATCTAACCTAAATCCCTTGCTGCAGAGTAAGCCCATTACTTCTGTTCCTACCTCCACTGAACATTGAGAACTGATCAGTCATCTTAGTAATGGCAGTTAACATACTTTGGGTGTTATCAGGTCCGTCCCTCAGTCTTCTTTTCACAAGACTAAAACATGTCCAGTTGTTTTAACTTTTCCTTAGAGGTTAGGTTTTCTAAACCTTTACCATTTTTGTTGCTCTCTTCTGGATGATCTCTAATTTATCCACATCTTTGCTAAAGCGTGATGCCTAGAACTGGACACAGTATTCCAGCTGAGGCCACACCAATGCACAGTAGAGTGGGACAATTACCTCCAATGTCTTACATACAACACCCCTGTTAATGCACCCCAGACTCAGATTAGCCTTTTTTGCAACTGCATCACATGGTTGACTCATTAAATTTGTGATCCCAGATCCTTTTCAGCAGTACTACCACCTAGCCAGTTATTCCCCATTTTGTGCTTGGGCATTTGGTTTTTTCCTCCCTAACTGTTGTACTTGTCTTAATTGAATTTCATCTGGTTGATTTCAGACCAATTCTCCCATTTGTCAAGGTTGTTTTGAATTCTAACCCTGTCCTCCAAAGTGCTTGCAACCCTTCTCAGCTTGATGTTCTCTGCAAATTTTATAAGCATACTCTCCACTCCCTTATCCAAGTCATTAATAAAAATATTGACTAGTACAAGACTGACTACTAACTCCTCTGAGTGCCCACTAAATACATTCTCACAGTTTGATAGCAAGCCATTCATAACTACTCTTTTGAGTATGACTTTTCAACCAGTTCCAGACTCACCTTATAGTAATTTAATCTGAACCACATTTCCCTAGTTTGCTTAAGAACATTATGTGAAACGGTGTCAAAAGCCTTACTAAAAATCAAGCTACAATCATATCTATTGCTTTCCCCCCCACCAAGCCAATAACATTCTGTCAAAGAAGGAAATTAGGTTGGTTTTGCATGTTTTGTTCTTGACAAATGCATGCTGGCTATTCTTTATAACTCTATTATCCTCTAGGTGTTTACAAACTGATTTTTTAATAATTTGTTTCAGTATCCTTCCACATACTGAAGTTAGGCTGACTGGTCTATGATTCCCAAGGTCCTCTTTGTTCCCCTTTTTCATAGATAGGCACTATGTTCGCCTTTCACCCATCATCCATGAGTTCTAAGATAATTGCTAATGATTCTGAGATTGCTTCAGCTAGTTCCTTAAGTACCCTAGAATGAATTTCATCAGTCCCGGCCGACTTGATCACATCTAACGTATCTAAATATTGTTTAATCTGCTCTTCCCCTATTTTGGCTTGAGTTCCTTCCCCCTTGTTAATAATAATTGTGTTGTGTGTCTGGTCACCATTAACTTTTTAAGTAAAGACAAACAAAATAGGAATTAAATACCTCAGCTTTCTTGATGTCAACAGTTATTAATTATCCTTCCCCACTAAGTACAGCACCTACCTGACCATTCAATCCCGTTTTGGTGCAGTAACGTTTTCTAACATAGACAAGCTAAATTTGTTTTCAGATTCTAGATTCACCAACTGTTTTCTGAGTGAATCCCTTGAATGGGGAAAGCGTGCATGTACTAGGAGCAAAAGTCGCTGAATGAGCAATACTTACTCTTTACACCTGTTAAAGGAGGAATGTGATAGTAATAAAATGGAATGCCAGGGGCTTCAGATGCAACTTCCCGTAAGAAAGCAACCAATGTATCTGAAAAGAGGCAGTGAAAGAAGGCAATCATACTCTGAGGCAAGAAAAGGAGGTCATCCACATAAAGTGAAGTTCAGATTCATAGACTTATCAGGAATCCATCTCTAAGGAGACACTATTTCTCTATCTCTTCTGCACTTAATAGGTGCAGAATATAGGAATTGGGTACTATGCTTTTAAAAGTTTGTGAGCCCTCTAAAGCTTTTCCACCATCTAGGTTTCAGAAGCCAACAGAACAACAGTGAATATATGTAGCTAGGCCTTGAATGGTGTATAAGGTTAGTAAACATGATTATTTCAAACCCACTGGGCCAGTGTAGTTCCTTCATATTACATGTGTTGTATAAAAAGCCAAGACACAACAATAGGTTATTTCATTTTGGGCTAATCTGACGAATTGATAATACAGAGTTTTACAAGCTTCTTTCACACAGCTCTATCATTTACCCTCAGTTCTGATCTGTTCCCCAAGTAGTTCTGCACCTCACAAGTAATACGCACTGGCCCTGTTAATCGACTCCTGTGCTTCAGCAGAGACTGTCAAATCTGCCTTTGTAATGAATGCAGTTTGGTGTGTCCAGTAGGCATCAAGAGCTCATCAATTAGCTTCACTTGTGACCAAGACCAAATACAAAGTCAGTTTGTGACGGGGAGATGTTAGTGCATCAGCTACCCGTTCAATGAGGCACCACTCTCCTCTCATTGCAGTTGGGCTGCATCTCATGTTTGTACAGCTCCAAACGCACCACTGGCATTCAAACAACGTTATTTCCAGAAATGGTTTCCAAAAGAATGTCCATATGACCGTGAGGACGGGGACACTGTGCCAGAGCAGCAGAGGGTAAAGGAGGAGCCTATAACACAGGACCTATGTTAAAACTCAAGAACCTGCCCTCTCTGAAGAAACTCCAAGCACTATAAAGGAAGTTTTATCATTGAGGAACCATATAGCAAAGATACAGATACTCTGTGACCAACTACAGCAGCATTGCTGCAACAGATCTCTAAAAAACATGACCTCCCTTTACCATATCATACTGCTGACAGTCTGAATGTGTGGTAAACTGCAGAAGAAAAAGGGCCTCTGTGGGTGTGATGGCCACAGACATCTCTGCTCACCTTTGTTTGTAGGTTTGAAAAAAAAGGGGGCGATCCCAGCGATACCACTCGCTCCTATTGCGGCTGCATGTTTGGCCTTGATAGGAAAGAACAGAATGTATCAAAGGTGCATTCACGGCACGTGTTTCTATCATGCACATAGTGAAGAACCACATCAATCCATTCCACAGCTACAAATTAAACCCTTAAGCAAGCTGTACATTATGGAACAAGTTCAGACATGAAGTCAATGGGAATTGTGCCAGTCTATGCCAGGGATGAAGAGACCCTTCCATCAATGTAATGCACTACCTCTGTTTCTAAACACCACACATATCTATTACCTCTGCCTGATTAATGAATGGTCCTCTGTCCTTACAGCTCCCACCTCCCAAGAAATAGGATAGCATCACTGACCCCATTGTACACATCAGGAAACAGAGACAGGTTAAGTGACTTGCTCAAGTCACACAGGAAGTAAGTGGCAAAAGCAGGGAATAGAACCCTGCTCTCTGGCACCATCAGGTTCTTCAAGAATTTTCCCTTCCTTCAGCTACTACATGCCTTAAAGATTCCCACATGCCCTGAAGAAGTGGCCAGGAGTGGACCATCTGGGCCTGAGGGAATGTGTATATGTGAGTGAGAGCGAGAAAGTGACCCACAGCAAAGTGATCAATTCAATTTACAATGGTCATTATATTACCGAGATGAATGGGGCTGTTCACGTGAGGGGAGTCAGGTCACATTTGGAAGGTTCCTCCCTTCCCCCAACTAAAATGGTGGGGGAGAATCTATTTTTAACATAGTCTGTGTTTGTACAGCACCTACTGCAATGGGGTCCTGGTCCATGAAAGAACATCCTAGGCCCTGCAGCAATACAAATAAATTCTGCATAACCTGACTGAGCCGCCCAGGAGATGCTAGTAGAGCAAGCCTACTCAGTTTGATTAGTTCCAATGCTTGTATGCTCAAAGACTCAGGGGTATGACTACACTGATAAAATACCCATGGCTGGCTTGGGTCAGCTCACACAGGCTCACTGGGCTTGGGCTGCAGGGCTATAAAACTGCAGTACAGACATTTGGGCTTGGACTGGACGCCGGGCTCTTGGACCCTGTGATGTGGGAGGGTCTGAGAACCCAGGCTCCAGCCAAAGTTAAAACGTCTACACTGCAATTTTATAGCTCTACAGCCCATGCCCTGTCAGCCTGAGTCAGCTGACCCAGGCCAGTGTTTTATTGCCTGTAGATGTACCCTCAGGACCAAGACAGCATAACATGGAAAGAAAGGTCAGTAAGTGCATAAACTCAGAAAAGAAAAAAGGGGAACCAACCCACTCATATGTAAAGTTATGGAAAGACAAAGGAAGGAAGCTAAGAAAAAATTCACACACACACCAGTTCCTTTGCTTCTGGTAGACTTAATGCACCCACGTGAATGATCACATGATCCAACCTGCAAAAGAGAAAGATTGCTGTTTATTTTTTGGTTTGTGGGAATTTAAACGTGGGGGAAAGATGCCAGACAAACAGTCTGGGTCCACACAGCAGATACTCAGTGGAGTGGATACAAACTAAAAGGGATCTAGAAACAAAGTTTTAGAGTACAGCAAAAAGTTCAGCCACACATCCAACACTTCTTCCCATTCCCTCCCCCGCCCAGAAGTGTTCTCAACATCCGCATCCCACAATCTTATTTCTGCAGCTCTCTCAGATCCTCATCCCCAGAGCTGCCACATGCTTGGCCAAGTGATCTTCCTGAAGCAGTGGGCCAGATTCTCCCCTGCTTTCCCCCTTGTGTAATCTCTTCCCCTATGTAAAGGGCTAATCATTCTGATCTGCAACATCTGACACCATTTTGTATCATAGAAATGAATGCACCAGGTACAAGGCTGTGGAGAATCATGCCCGCTGTATGCGGCAAGCTTAGAAAGAATCACACAGAGTTGGTTAAAAAAAAAAAGTTAATTTTTCATGGGAAATTTTCAAAATTCTTTTTCCTCCCTCTTAAACTTTCCATAGGAATTTTTTGAGTTATTCAACAACAAACCCCACCCCCAAAACAAAACAACAACACCCAAATCCAGAATTTTTTTAACTCAAACTTGAACAAAAATTACCAAGACACCCCTACTTAAAGGAAAATAACCCCCCCCATTTTTGTTTCCCCCCCTTTCTCCCTCCAAACAAAAGCACAGAAAGTTTAAATCCAAAAGAAGATCCAGGGAAAGCTTTTTCCCCTCTCTGTCACTTGTTTTCCTTTTCACTGTCCCTTCCCCACAATTCCACTCTCCCCCTCTGCATATCTCACCCCCCCCAACTCACTTCCAACGGGGACATGAGAGACAGTGCAAAGGCGAGTGATATGAGAATATGCAAAACATCCAAGAAGAGGGATGGTCCAGTGATTAGAGTTGTAACGTGGGACTCAGAAGACATGGGGCCAATTTCCTCCTCTGCCACAGACTTCCGGTGTGATTGGGCAAGTCACAGTCCTTCTGTGCCTCAGTTTCCCCATTTGTATAATGGGGATAATAGCACTGCCCTGCTGCACAGGGGTGTTGAAAAGATAAATACATACATACAAATATTGTGAGGCTCTCATGCCTGTGTTAAGGCAACATAAAAGCAGCAAACAGATGGTCTCATTTTTACATCCCTTATTACTTTCCCCTTTCTCCAACTTAAGCAATAGGAAGAGGGTGTTTTTCAAAACCGCCTCTCTTCCACATGCCTCCATAAGCAATAGGGAGAGGAGGCATCCCAGAGGCCTTCCCCCTCTAAGCAGTATGGAGGGAGGCTGATGACTGAGCCACACTTTTCTAGTCACTTATTTTGACAATACCAGCAACATCTTGATAAATGGGCCAGAGAAAGAAAATAGGGGAAGTAATTAGAGGGTACAGCCTTTGCTTAGACAAGCAGTAATGTCTATGTGAACAGACAGGTTTCCTTAGAGCTACTCACTTGTTTTTCCCTTTGGTCACCCACTCCTCTGCCAGCTGCTTCCTCTCCTGGGTGCTCAGTGCCAGCCCTTCTCCTGTTGTGCCATTCACTGTTTCAAACAGAACACAACACATCCTGAGGCCTGGCCTACACAGAGAAGTTGCACTGGTTTTATTAAAGACCATTACTGAAATTTAAATCACACAAACTAACTCAATATTGGACAGTTGTAAACAGATATGCAAGTCCACACAAGGGTTTGTGCTGATTTAAATAAACTGGTTTTTAAAGTGCTTTAGTTAAACATGTGGAATTTGTGTATGTGTATGTGTGTAGAGAAGGCCTATAGCACTGAAAGAGTTAAATGCATATGCCTTCCTAAGCCAACACAATCAGAAAGGAAGAAACCCTTGTAAGAGGACAATGGACTTGAAGCTCATTTGATAAAGGTGCCTACTGAATAAATATGATTTGAATAAATGCATCTCTCTTGTATCCAATGTTGTCTATCAGGTGACCACATCTTCCCCAAGCATGTGAATAGAATAATTCAGATGGGTCTTTTCTGTCACCGCTTTGATCCTTCTTAATGCCCTAATGTGGCATTGTCTAGTAGTTGTCTCTGCTTCCTTCCCTACTCCAGTAACATTCTCATCTTCTGCTCTATCCTGCGCATAACTGGGAGTTTGCGCAAAAACAGATTCCTAAAGAATAGGCTATGATTTCTTCCACTTAAGTGCACATGCTTAGAATGCTCCCATCCCCATATTCCATTGCATCACAGCTCTTGGATGACAAGAAGCACAACTCACTGCTTACGACTTACCAAAAACGTTCTTCACACCCTGCTCTTTTACAAGATAATCCACATATTGCCCAATCACAGAGAGGTTAATTTCTCTGAAAAAGAAAGAAAATAAAAAGAGGGAGAACAGAAACATGTGTGTAAAGAATCCCTGACCAAGTTCAAGTTCTAAAAGGTTTCCCTCTAATACCCTAGAGGGGTTGGGAATATGAAATCTAGCTTAAAAAAAAATTTCACCTGCCCACTTCCTGAATTGTGGAGACCTCTATACATAAAGCTTCTGAACAGGGTATTTGGGGCTGAGAATGCCAGATTAGAAAGTGTCCTGTACGTGAGGCCTAAATTGGGGTTCCTAGAGCATGAGATTCCCAGAACTAGAAGACCCAGATCTTCAGTGATCAGAACCACTAAGCTTCACATGTTCTATTATTGCTACAATATATTAATGTCTTTTAAAAAAATATTGAAGACTTGATAGGAATACTCTATTTTTCAAGTTTACCTGATTCTGTCTCTTAACCACTGCCCTTCTGAGCACACAGCAGCCACCAGGCTGGCTCTGACTTCTGGAAAGCGCTACAGCAGAGGTTCTCAAACTGTGGTCCGCGAGCTCCACCCAGGTGGTCTGTGGATAGTTCCCCCTAAGGTGCGCGCCTGGGCGGCCACACACAAGAGAATGAAAGGCCACCCACCTAATTACTGGAACCGCTGAGAAGATGCACATGTAAGGTGAGGTGGTGGCCTTGGCGGGGGGGGGTGGGGGAGGGGAGGGGGAATAGGAGGTAGGTGGGAGGGGGTAGTGGGGTGAGAAGAGGGGGTGGAGGGAATTTGGGATGCGCAGGGCTGCGGCGGCCAAAGAGGCAACTTTCCCCAGCTCCAGGGCTGCTGGGGAGAGATCTCCCTCCTTCCCAGGCCCAGCTTGAGGGCTGCCGTGGCAGGGGAGAGAGGGCACATCCATCACGTTAGAAAGGTAAGACTACTGATATTAAAATATGAGTGTGTTTGTAGACCAAAAAAAATTATTAATTTTTTTTATATAGCACTTTTATCTAAAGTGCTTTACAATAGTTAGCTAATGATACAAACCACATTTGGAAAGATCATTAAGTGGTCCGCCGAGACCCTCAGCAATTTTCAAGTGGTCCGCAAAAAAAAAAAAAAAAAACACGTTTGAGAACCACTGATCTAAGGAACATTGGGTAAGCCCGGAATAAAATGTAGCTAGAAAGGATACCAAGCTTAGTTATGTTTTAATGGCAGGTTTGAAACTAGTAGATTCTCAGACACCAAAGTCTCCAATCCCCAACAGGGTTCATTCAGGCCTTTGGAGATGGAAAAACAATTCTAAGAAGTTTATTGTGGGTTTTTCAGATACAGAAAAACAAACAAGGCCCTTTCTCCCCTGGGAAAACATTTAGTATCTTGTGGTGCTTTAAGACTGCAGGTCTAACTGAAAAGCAACTTGGTAAAAATAGTAACTATTGCTTTGACAGAGCTATTCTTTTGTGTATTCAGTCATATCTGCTCACTTCAGCTGCAAGCAGAGAACCAAATCCTCAGATGATGTAAATTAGCATCAGCTGAGGACCTGGCCCATACCTTTACAATTTTACAGCCTCTAATCCATATATTTTCACTACTCTTTACTGCTGCTTGCCCTGCAGAACCCCTCCCAGATATTGTATGCTAAATTCCGATCTGTGCAAAATTAGTGAAGACAATGGGATTGTGCCTGTTTCAATGAGAGGTAGAATTTACTCTGTAGAATGTGTGTTACAGGTGGGGTCACATGAGAGATGGGAAGAGAACAACTCATTGCTCAGGATCCAGGCTTAATCTGCAGAAAGAGTACTTAAAAACTATTATCTGAATTTTAAATGGTACATGCTGAGTACAGAAATCACTGAGACAGACCGTATGATCTAGAGCTGCTCAAACAATGGTGACCTTTTTTATGGAATACTTTTATTAAAACTTTGAATTTTTGAAAAGTCTTGACCAGCTCTGCTGTGATCCATTTTTGCCGTCACAGAATTAAACAAAGATCAGAGGTAAGCTTCAGCATTCTTGGTCAAAATTTCCCTTACCCTCCCTGTCTGCATTCTACAGTGTGCTAGATGGTTGCCAGTGCCACCTTCCCACTCCCTGCATCTCACTGGTTTGCTGCATGCTTGTAATTTGTGGAGCACTAAGACATCATTTAGGATGAAAGGCTCAGAGTAAAATATTACAGGAAAAACAGTTTCCCTCCTATTACATTCTTGGACGCTCACCATTTAACCCCTTTAAGGGATGGAATGGGCTGTGGTCTTGGCTTTACCACAAGAGAGATAAAACAAGACCCTGTGGGGTAGCAACTTACCTCTGCTACTGAAGATGCTTTGTGAGTTCTCTTCCCTATCAAAATACAGTGCCTCATTTCCAGCAGCTCTACCATACTCAGATTATTAAGTGTTTCTTGTACTGTACATTGTAGTTTAAGGAGAATTAAGATTGGAATGAAACACTCTTGGGTCAAGAGCCAAAAAAAAAAAAAAAAAAATTTGAGCTCCTGATTCAATATCTGCCACAGGGGGAAAATAATGCAGTGTTCCCAAACAAGATGAAATGTAGTGTTGTTGGTCAGCCATACAGTTCCCTTTGGACATTGGAGTGTGACTCAAAATGCAAACTGTCCTCAACAAACTGGTGAAACAGACAGCATGTGTAATCACAGCATTTCTATCAGGTTCAGATTTTAAATTAGTCACCACTAGAACCTTTTAGTTATTCTGACTACGTGGCTAGTGAGCCAATGTCAGAGTGGCAGACGGGGCCTGATTCTCCCTTACACGAAGATCACTTTACACCACTGTTTGGGTGCTCATTTCAGCAACCTTAACCTCAATTTAAAGATGTGTGGTATTATAAAACAATTTTTAAACAAATGCATTTTAAAGAAGTGTGTATGTACACACATGGATATTTATTTATAGGCCAAAAGATGTCACAGGATCATTTAGATGTACACATAGCAATCCAATGTCACCACATGATGGTGTAGTTCTAACTTTCATGACTCTTTCTTTTAATTCCCCCACTGCCTCCTGACCAATTGTTTGTTGCTGTAAGCCGTTGTGTCTTTTTTGGTAATTAAACTGTAAGCTCTCTTGAGAAGGGAAGCACTATGAACACCTTTTGGGCACTCTAGAAAGACAAGTTGTTATTTTTATAAATACACTCTACTATTGTAAGTGCTGACAAGTAGCTAAGCAAACCATCCTTCATAGTTACAGGATGCAGGCTGTTAAATGGCATCTGGCGGATGTTACTTTGCCCTTTCTCTTTAGTTGGATGAAGAGAGAAAGGGACAGTCTTCATTTTGCTTGTGATAATAAGAATAACCAGGGCTGGATTCCACATTTATGGCCTCTCAATAACTCCAGACCAAATCTTCTCAGTTTACAAGTAGTAAGGAGTGGCGTAAATACCAACATAGCACTGTTCAAACCTAGATCTCAAAGCACTTATCAAAGGCAGGTAGGGTTGAGCAACTCCATTTTTACAGTATAACCAACCAGATTTTTTTTCCTCTCCTGAGAGCCAACCTAGACTCTCCTGAATAAGCTGCCCATCACAACACTAACCTCTGCTCCCAGGACTTCAGGACTGTAAGGAAGGGGATTAGTCAGTCAAACAAAAGCCTTCACAAACCTTTGTCTTCCTGGGATGTTGAACATTGTTAGAAAGTTTACTTTTTTTTTTTGGTAAAGTTGTTGCAGAAAAGCAAGTAGGAAAGTGTAAGGTTCTGGGAAAAAGTTCACAATACATTAATTGACATTGACAGCAATCATTTTGGTAGTCAGAGGGAATATTTACCCATCTGGAGTCATTGGAGTGATTGTAGCTGCTGTGAGACCCTGCAATCTCTTTGGGGATGCCATTGATCTGTCAGGAGAAGTCAGAAAGACAAGCAAAATTTCTCTTAACAAGAGACATCTATTTTGAGTAAATTCTGTTAACAACAAAGCTCTACAGGCAAAGCCTGGAACAAGTGGACTTTGTAAGTTTCTTTTGAGAAAAACAGATTGCGCAGTTTTCTGAGGACCTGTGCAGACACGATTACTGTAGCAGGCAAGGTCTGAGCATAAGATTGGTAGCACCTGATACAGTTCTAGTTCAAAGGCAGTTTCTCTTTGAATCTCCTGTTTTCACATGTGCATCCCTTCCTAAAACATTCACCTTTGGGCCAGACAGTACTTATGTCTGGGTCTCTGCTTGAAGGGAAAATTTCTGGAAGCAAACTCTCTAACACCATTTTTGAGGACTGGGGAGGGAGTGGAAAAGATGCATGTCAAACACTATATAGGGGAAAAAATATAAGCACATTTTTATCAAGGGAGCTAAGCCACCAAACTTTTCTTCAGAGATTATGTCCATATGAAGGGTACTCTATAGTTTCTGCTTGGGTTGGAGATGATGGGAAATTAAGTGATTGAAAAGTCACTTCTGAGCCTGATCGGAAGTCAGTTCTACTTCTCTTTACAAATTTACCCACCACTCTCATTATTGTTATTCCAAACACAGCCCCGGCCCCACCCTGAGCCTCTCTCTCCTCTTGGAAAGGTTGGGAAAAGGAAAATTCTTCTCCTGCTGTACAGTGAGGTTTCTACTATGCTATGCTACCCCTTTCCCAGCCTTGGTCTTTGGTGCCTTCACCTCCAGGACTTTCTCTGCTGCTGCTTCCAACTCTGTTTACAGCATCAGAACAAAACTGATCCAGTTTGTCCCAGTTACAATCCTGAGCAGTATTGGAGGCACCCAGAGTGGTATGTCTCAGGACATAAGACTTCAACCCTGCAATGGTTACACTTGGCTCGGCTTTGGGAGGTTGTCTTCATAACCATAAGGGCTAGAAACAAAACTCTTCTATAAATTAAAGATTCAGTTAAGCAGAAGCAGATGGCATTGGCACCCCTACTCACCAACAGAGTGGACTGCGAGTCCTGTTAATGCAAAGCTACTTTCTAACAGGTTTTGCCCCGAGTACACGTAGTATGGAAATAACTGGAACAGCGCACAGCATAAGCTCTCTTGAGAGCAAGCTGATTTGCACATTGGGTGAACAGCTCCAGCCCAGAGAGAACAGCATCACATGAGCCTCACAGGGGATGGGGGAAGGGGACAAAATCTGTTACAACCACACGGCTCAGAAACTCAGTCCCCCCTGGGCGCCCCACACACCAGCCCTCAGTCACTCTCAGAAAGCTGGTCTGTCTCTTCCCCCCTTCCCAAGACTCAGCCAATCTGCCCCCCCCGCAACGAGTCTGCTGTCCTGCCCACCCGGCCGGTGTCAGTCTGTCCTCACCGGCAGAGCGAGCCGCTGTGCCCAGCGCTCCGCGCGGCCTGCCCGGGACCTCGGCGGCGGGGCCGGTCTGGTGCCCGGCTCGGCCCCCGCGGCCCCCCTTTTATGACGGAGCAGGCCAGGAGGCTCCGCGCATGCCCACTGACAGCAGCCGAAGGCCTACCCTAAGCCTGCTCCCATCATCCCCAGCCGCAGGGTCCCGTCCCCCCCGAGCGGGACGGCTCTTCGCCGGTGGGGGGTGCTCCGTGCCCGGGGCCCGCTGCAGACCTGGTTCCTTGCCATGGGCGTGGCCAAAGCCCCAGTCGGGACTGCCCCCCCGCCCCCCCATCGTACCCCCGGCCTGTGGGGCAGTCGCCGTCCCGCC